GGGGAGGCTTGTTTTTTGCTGCCCGTTTGAGACGCCTTGGGAGTGATGGCTATGGAAATGGAGACAAGAAGAGGCCAGGCGGATCAGAAAGGCCCAAAACACAAATGGCTTTTGACTGGTTGCTCTCTGACGAGCCGTACCAAATCCGGTGTGACATTCTGTCTCCACTTTTCAGGAAATACACAGCAATGCATGTTCAGAATGGCGATGCGCTGGGCAAATTCTGGCTCGCTGATGATGCGCGGTGTGTATGAAAAATTAGCTTCGGTGTAAACACATCAAAGGGGTGATAAGACACGAAACGGCCTACAATGCTGCATCCAAATTGTTTTATTAATAAAGGTTCACCATCATTGTTTTCTGTCCTATGACTGCAAGAGGCAAATGCATTTCTATTCTGAGAAGAAAGCAATTCCTGCTCTGTTATTGCAATCTATAGGTCATCCATTTGTTCCTCCAATAGCTGGCTGTAAACGCCTCTTCAAAGCAAGCATTGGCATTAAACACAGTGCTAGCAGTAGGATTGTAAATGCATGTTGACATTTCCCTTTTCATTTGAATGTAGGAGCCTGTAGCTACACTGGCTGACCTGCAGTACGTGGAGGTTTGTGACTTTAATAAGCTGGTAATTCAAACATATACATAATATGTAAATTGTCTGTGGCTGCTGGAGCATTGTTTGCTCTCTGCAGCCCTAACAGTACTATAGGATCTTTTTAATTTTTATCTCAGCGAGAGGGGAATTTAAATATTTAATTGCGGTCAAAAAAGGGAAGACAAAGGAACACAACATTTAGTATTATTAAATCAGGCTGTCGTCAGAATAAGACTATTATTATTAGCTAGTTGGAGAACCATCTGTGTATAAGCGTGTAAATAGGAAATTAGTAGAAGAGCATTGAACTAAATCATCTGAGTAATGCTATCAAATGTAAGCTGGCTCACAAATTTACCTTTCCTGTAATACTTTTTTTTTTTTTCATATAATAATCCAAAGGGAAAATTGCCTGCCAGTCACTGACTTAATGACTGCCTTTTGTTGAAAATGAAATAAATAAATGCACTATTGAACTGGTTGGATTGCACCTCTGAATCTCAGGCCCCCTGACAATGATCCTTGCTAAATTAAAATGAATATGTAACCAGTGGGAACACCTATCTATAAGCCTCTACAGAGCATGCTTTATATCTGCCTCAGAGCAGATGGCTTTTTTTGAATAGAACAAGGTGGTTTTAATATTTTGAATATTTGAAGAATCAGCGAGAAACATCATTTTTTCTTCCTCACTGAGGATTAAATGGTGGCAGCTAACTGCTTCTTTTCATGTGGGATTTAAGTTAAATCCAGAGGTTTTTTTTTTCGAATATAGGTTGCTTTGAATGTACAAATAAATAATAAAAAAAAGCTGTCACCCAAACTCAAAATGCGTGCCGGTGGATGGAGAGCGTCAGCGGAGAGGAGAGAGGCAGAGAGAGAGAGAGAGAGAAAAGAACAAGATGGAGGAAATGCATGCGATTGGGACAGACGGCAGGAGAGATGAGTTGCTGGCTATCATTCAGCGTATTAACTCAAGTATGTCATTAAATCATGAGTTGTAAAAAAAAACAAAAATAGGAAGGACAAATATGGCAAGCTTTGAGCTGCTTTGGTGAACTCATTTAGTGGCTTCTTCCTCTGCTCTCGTGTTGTTTCTCCGTGCCCGCCGACTGAGAGAGACCGAATTCTGCTTGAATTTGTTTGCATATACACGTGTGTGTATGTGGGTACAGTTCTCAGCATCCGTATTTGTGCCTGTATTTGCAAAGAGACGGGCTCGAAGAGCACACTGCGTCATATTTTAACTCCCTTTGTCTTTGACAGATGGCTCGGCTCTAAAAGCCTCTCTCCGTGGTGCTGAAGGCTGGCCTGATGTATGAGTGTCAGGGCCTGCTTGATAAATCCACCATGTCACTCCGCCTCTGACAGCCATTCATCATGCTTGGGTTTCTCATGCTGGATAATTCAGTCAGACAAATAAAATGGGAGTCCTAAAGCTCAGTCCCACCATGCGTTGACTTTTCAGCACTGTACTTTATCTCTCTGTCATAGGGATGCTGTGTCCCTGCCTAAACACAGGCAGCAGCAGCTGTAGCTGCAGTACAGTGACTATATTCAGACCAGCTGAAGGACGAACATGTTCTTAATGAGGCGGCTAATGAGTTCTGTTTTTTTTCTTCTTCTTCCCAGGGTAAGGGCGGCCATTCAGCTGAAGTCTCGTGGCTTCTCCCCCGTGGCCTGCCCTCTAAAGACTCCCTCTGTACTACCAGGTCATTGTCAATCATGTGTTTTGCATGCTTGCAGTTAAAATGTCACACATGAAAGTCATTAAACAGTGTACATTACCCCATGTTGGATGACGACTAAAATAAATGGTAGGATTATAATGCCATGCATTTTACTTTGAGATAAATCTAGTGCATTGTGACACGTATGAGAATAAAGAAAAGGCAAAAACTAGGCAATTGTTTGTAAAAGAAACAATGACATTTATTTTTTTTTCTTAGCACTTTACTTAATTAGTCTGTTGTGCCCATTGATCACATATAATACAGTTAATATAAAAATGGCTTTTTAACTTTACACCCAAAGCAACAACGAAACGTTTTCTTAAAATATGTATGCTAAAAATACTGAGAAAGTATTTCCACTAAAAGTACCGGAAATAGCTTGCGATTCTGCAATGGTGACATGGCCATGTTTTGCTGTTTCTTCTGTTTCTTCTGTTTACCTCATGTAGTTCTTGTTGTAGGCACTTACCAGGGCATAACAGACCGCTGTGTGAGGAGATCACACATCAATCCCCTCATTTTTAATCAACCTGTTATATTTGTTTTTTCCTAGTCACCGTTGCAATGAGAACTACACAGCATAAACAGCCATTTGGCAAACGTCCTCTCTCGATACTCATTTCGTAGCTGAATTTCATTAAGCTTAATGTGACGTTGTAATCAAAAGTAGTCTGCCCCTTGCCTCGATTTGAAACCCATTTAAACTGTTCGCATACAGATGATTTGTCATTACATCAACATAATAGAATATATAACAATATTTCCATGAAAAATCAAGAATCCATTTTAAATAGAAAAAGGGGGGTTTATATTTCATCAAAAGGCTTACACCATAGTCACTGTAATTTGTCTACTCTACTAAATCTCCCTTCCCATAATAGACAGGTGTTATTACTGTATCTCTAACTCGTCTATGGATGTTTGACAAAGCACAGACGGTATTGCTTGGGACCACACAGACAGTTCCACAACTCTGAACACATTTAACAGTCAATTACAAGAGAGTTGACCATCATCATCTTCACTTTCTTTTGTCTGCCTGCATTTCTCTATAAATGGTATTGAATGATATTGTTTTTGCAGTAAATGCCCCTTTCTGTTGATTTTTATCTTGGTTTGATGTAGCGGTTACAAAGCCACCACTTTAGCTGGGGTTGAAACTGGGAGAGCATGTAGTCTATTTGAAACTGTTCCATCCCTGTCCAATAGTAGATTTGCCAGAGTATCTGAGCCGGGGACCAGCAATGGGTATGCCTTTGAAACAGTACTACAGATCTCTCCACCCCTGCCCATGGCCTTGTCCATTCAGTGTAGTTGGTGTGGTGCTCTACAAAGCCGCGCTTCTTAAAAGGCATTGTCACACACATTTATGACTGTGGCTTTCACTTTGACTCCACTTGGCAGTCCCTTACCCGAAACCCACAGCTTTGTAAAGAAAGGAGAGTGCATACCGGTTGCTTCCACTTGTGTCAGCGAAGCTTTGGAGTCGCATTTCCTTATATCCCCATAAAGGTGATGGTTCCTCAGAGAGACATAAATAAGCAGGCATGCCACTGAAATCACAGCCAAGAGCACACCAAAGACGGTGATTACTGCTGTGTCCCATTTCTCTGTGTCCTTGGCTGCCAGCTCTAATCCCTTAGTGGTGACATTGACACATTTGGTGTCTTGCTTGTAGTGGATGCTGCCGACATCCACACAGACTTTGTACAGAGTGGCGGGGCTGAGATGGGTGAGGTTGTAGACCTGGACGTCAGAGGGAACCCTGGTGGTAAACGCTGTGGTGGGATGGTTAGCGTCTGATCCTGTGTACCATTTAATGCTTGGGGCCAAGGTGCCATGGCCGGCCTTCCACGAAACCAGGATGGAATTTGTCTCCACCGATTTGATTATGACATTCAGAGAGCCATTTGTAGGTTGGGGAAAATATCCATTCACCTCTACGGAAACGGATTTAAGATCAGCTCCAACCAGATTATGGGCAACACAAGTGTAAAGACCAGCTTCGTTCTCTGTTATATCATAGATGTCAAAAGTTCCCTCTGGGTGCATGTAGAACTTGTCAGACACTGTGTTCGGCAGGACCCTGGTACCAGTCGGGGTGATCCAGTAGATGTCTGGCTCTGGTTCAGCGAAGGCCCGACAATGGAGTGACACAGAGCTCCCGTTCCATGCTTTGATGTGCCCAGGCATGCTTTCGGGAGATATGAGTGGCAGACAAATCTCCATCATCTCCCTGAAGTGCACCTGTCGGACATGCTGGCCCTCGTACTCTGGCGGCTCCACACAGTACAGTGAGTCGGGCTCCATGAAGCGAAGGTTGGTCTTGTTCATGTTCATCCAGCGGACTACGCAGTCACAGCGGATGGGGTTGCTGTGCATGCTCACCTCTCTGAGATTTGGGAGGGACTCAACAGTAATCCTGTGAAGGGCACTGAGCGCGTTGCCATTCAGCATTAGGGTTTCCAGCCGCGGTAGTTTGTAGAAAGCATTAGGATGGATATAGGAGAGTTTAGGATTGTTGGTGGCTTCTATTTTGGTGAGCTCGGGGAGGTTATTGAGGGCAAAGCTGTCAATGGAAACTAGCTCTGGCATGCTATTAATCCCTAGTTCTTTCAGATGGAGCATATCCACAAAGTCTCCCCTCTGTATCCTCGCTATTGGGTTTTTATTTAGATCCAAAAACTTCAGATTTTTTGCATTTCTCAGGGCGGAATGAGGCACCTCAGCGAAAATATTATCATAGAACGAGATGCTCTCTAAGTTCTCAAGACCAGCCAGTGCATCGTCAGGGAGCTGAGACAGGTTCATCCTGGTGAGGACCAGACTGCGTAGGTTACTGAGAGGCTTGAAGTTCATATCATCGAGAGAAAGAATAGGATTCTCACCGATCATCAGGATCTCCAGATTTGGCATGGGCTCGAACCACTCTTTTTGAATGGCCGTCAGCTTGTTAGAATTGAGGTGGAGCCGCACAAGGTTGCTGAGACCCTGAAAAGCCATCGAGGAAATGGAGGAGATGAGGTTGTGATTCATGTAGAACTCCTGAAGGTTCGCCATCTCAGCAAGACTTCGCTCAGGCAACTCTTGTATCCAATTTTCCTCCATATGAAGGGACAGCAGTTGAGGAAGATTCCCCAGCTGGACATCGCTGATAGAGGATAAATTGTTTTGCGATAAATCAATCTCTGTGATGTTGGCCAGGTAATCCAAGGGTTTGTCAATCTTGGCAATATTGTTTGTTTGCAGTAATAGTACTTGTGTGCCCACCGGTAATTGTTCCGGCAGGCTAAACAGTCCCAAGTCATTACAGTCAACTGTCTGAGCCTCCATGTACACCGAACTTGGAGAAAACCAGGGTCTAATCTCACATACACAGAGCTTTGGGCAATCAGGCCTCTCCTCTGTGGCCACAACAAAAGAGGCCATGGCCAAGCCGACAAAGAGGCGATCCACGAATGACACGTCCTTCATATTGGACCGTTTCCCTCCAGTAAGAAATTGGTCCTTGTAGATTAAGTGGTCTGAGCTGTTAACTTCACAAATAATAAATCATATGCTGCAGCCGCTGAGGCGATTGACTCACCACCCCTGCCACCGCCACCACCAACTGCAGCAGGGCTCCCTGGAGTTTTTTTTGTCTTGCTGTGTCGACGCCCTTGGATGTAATGACCAATCACTCACAGTTGCCTGCAGGTGTCAGGGTTCGGGGCCAACGCTGCAGTCAGACAGACCCGAGAAGGTGGGCGGGGGAAAAAATAAGAAGAAAAAAAAGGATGGAGCGATATTATACCTCAAAGGATTTATGTTAAGCACATTCGTAGGTATCCATGAAAAATCTCTTTAACAACGGATGTCCTCATTGATTGTCGTCACTTGCTTCCAGAGTCCACAGCCCGGTCCATTCCTACCTGAGTAAGACAAACAAGACAGAGAGAAGCGGTGTGAGGATTACACGACACTGGACGTGGTCAGGGAATTTCATCATGGAGGGATTTGGGCATATTGACATTTGTCATAGGCACGCTGATGCATGTTGACATTTGTGCACGCTCCCTTCAAGATATAGAACCCGTGGATTTATATCTACTTGACCTTCTAGACTTCATTCTGGGGACGTACCGGTGTGCCCCCACAACATGGCATTCAATTCTGATGTTAGCGGTATGTCTATTATTGGTTAAATGGAAGGCTTTATTAAGATTCCTAAATGGCAGACATCCTAGGGCTGAAGCATTAGCCTTTGATGCAAGCGGCTTAAAGACACTGGAATATGGCAGTTACTATGGCAACAAGTAAACGGGCAGCCAGTGCCACACACCACAGTGAGACACAGCTGAGCTGCACATGCAAACAGACGCAGCCTGCACCTGTTTGTTAGAAGATGCAGCAACCGACAGCTAAAAAGCTATTAGTGTGTTTACGTCATTTATCTGCACACTAATCAAATTTAAAGTTTTTTGCAAAATACATGCATTGCATACAGCAATGTTAGGATGTATAGACACATTGAGGTTGAGGGTTCATATAGTGCACTGTAAATATGTAAATACGGAGTGATTTCGGACACAACCCTTGTCTACATTGAGAGAAAGCTGAAGGCTATAAATATTTGACATATTTCAATTGATTTTTAGGTGACATACAAGTACATGCAGAACAAAACTTTGCATTAGAGATGCAGGTATGTATAAGCAGTATTTTTAAGACATTTCATATTTCAATTAAGCGTCAAAAACTGTTTAGGCTGTTTACAATTGTAGGCCTAAGTTATAGTTCATCAGCATCATCCATGTTGTGAAATGTGTCATATATGAACAAACATTACAAGGCCAACAAATAAATAAAGCGAACAGATTTAGTTCTTTGATTTTTTTGCTATTTAATATTGATTACAATGCCCATAAATATCTTCATACAAGCCTGAATTATTTGAGAAAGTCATCACATGCTGTGCTGTAGACAACAACTAGGACTACGATGCATCCTGCTGCATGAGTCAAATATCTCTTCTTCATGCAGCGCCTCTTTTACCGTCACATTCTCTCCTGTTGTGGTAGAAAGTCCACAGATGAAGTGCACCATGTTATTTGTTGTATGTAACTGCCTCTCACTGAACAGATAGGTTTGATGGTGCTTGTGATATTTCAGGCCTGTAAGAGCGTGCGGCACATCATGGGAAAAGTCAAGAGAGACGGGATAAAATGGAAAGAATCCAGAGAAGAAGTGTGATGGCAGCTGGGAACTGAGCACAAGAAAAGAGAGATGGTTTCATTTCATCACCCTCGCCGTCTTCCCCTCAGCGGCCACGGGGGAGGTGGATGTGGGGGGGAGAAGTATGTATATATAAATAAAATCTTCAGCAGGCGGCAGAAACGCTGCAATTTGCCCCGCTGGTGAAGCCAAGCCAGGGGTTCATTCCTCAACCTCTGCCCCAGCATTGTGGAGTCTGGTTGTGGAGGGGTGAGGGAGGAGGGAAGGCGGACAAGGAGCTAGTGGAACGAGAAAGAGAGTCGGGGGCGGGATTATTTTTCAAAAGCACCTGGCACTTTAATAAGCTACAACACCCAGAGCATTCTGATAAACAGGGTTTAGCTGCCCTCCCTCAGCACTAGCCCTTCATTGTGGGCTCTGCAGTTGATCCGCGCCCTGGAAACAAAAGGCCATAATCTGTAATTCAGCCGACAGCGTTTGGGTCTCACCTCTGCTCGCGCCGGTTTCTCTCTTCAGCAATCACAATTACCAGCAGTGTAATGTGGTCAGGTTAGCTATTATTGTGGATAGCATTATTGTGCAATCACTGCAGGCGGCTTGGGTGGGCTGTTAGCGTTTTACCGATGATGTTGGTTGTGTCCTTTGGGAGGGTTTAAGCAATGGCTTTTGATTTATGATTGATAATTTACGTTGTAGGCTTTGGCGCACTCCGAAATAAACACATTAAATAAGGTGTTACTTCATCAGATTTCCGTAAGCTTGAAGATAGATGTGAGCAGGACGTCGTGGTAATGAGAGGTAGAAAGAGACAGATTGACAAAGACAATTAATTCTTGTTTTTAGTTTAATGTGAATGTCGGTTGTCTGGCGAGTATCTGGGATGGGATTAGGAAGGCTTTACCGGACAATTTGCAAGATGCTGTGGCCAGCAAACGCAACATATTTCCAGGCCAATTCATGAGGATTCAATTCTGTTAATGATCATTCAACCCGTGGTTCATTGAAATAGTATAACGTGTTTAGACTAACGATCAAAATAAATAATTAAAAGTCTCATTTTTAGTTTTTCTTCCATTGTATCCAATAATATGGATATTTGATATCTATATTTGGGCAGATTGATACTCTAGTCTGGACAATGAGTAAAGTAAACTCAGCCAATACATTTGAATTGTAGATTTACTCTTAAATTATGATTATTATTAATCCTGCTTTCTTACTTTTGTATAATATAAATATCGCAGGACTTTCATTTTCCAAAAAAAAAATGAAATGAAATTGTAAATGTTATTGAGAAATGTATTTAAATCCTGTTTAATGTACAGTCTCCTGGGTGTCAGCTGAGGGGCTGCTGAAGGAGAACAGTGGGAGTCATTTGTAAGAAGAAGCTGAATCAGAGGTGACATCTTGTGTGGCAATGTGTCTGATGTGCCAAATGTACTTCCGCCTGAGCGGCATAGTGTTGAGCCAATGACTCAGTTATGTAATAAAACAGTTTGCAATAAAGTCGGCCGTGTATTACAAACTAAGAAAATGTTTACACAATGCTCGCTTTCAGATTTACTAAATGTCAACGACAAGTGGAACATCCTCAGAGCTCAGTGTGGTTAATCAAGAGGTGTCGCAACACGTCGGCAAAATTGAAAAGCTTTCAACAACAGAGCCTCCATTAAGAACGCTTATCTGACGGGAAAAATATGGCTTGTTAAGGCTACACAAACTGCATTTCATTCCACGTTGTTATGAGGTTGGCAATCTGGTAGCAAACTGCATCATCTTAAGTGAACTATCCTAATCATGCACAGGCGGTTGAGCAGGTAAATTGGTATTGTACGACCGCATTATGTGAAGCCCAGTGAAGAGGCAGTCTATATTCTTCAGGCTGTGCACCGTGACTGCTGTGGCTGTGGAGTCCACACACTTGTACTAACCTATTAGTAACAGGTCCAGTCAAGCTACCCAGCACACACACACACACACACACACACACACACTGCTACGATGTAAAGCTAATTTCCAACTATCCACTACTCGGTTGCCGGTAATTGCGGTGGAGAGGGGAGGCAGAAGGGAGAGAAGAGATCTGGAGGACAAAATGACTTGCCAGAGGAGGAACTTGTCATTGTATCCGTAGTGGTGTATTAACCTCTGGGGACCCTGACTGTCATTGCAGAACATATTAACCTTTGCAAGACCATGAAGCCAAAGTATTAGCCAGACAAAGATTGGAAGAAAACAAAGACTTCCAAGCAAAAAAAAAAAGCTGTGGTGTATTTTATTGGCAATAACTAACCAAGAGTAATGTGGTTAATATGGTTGGGGCAAATATAATTAAAGGATGGATGTTTGTAATATGTGCCTGGAAAAGCCTTTGCAAACCTTGTGTAGAGAGATACATAATCAACAGCTGGTAATATAACCTAGAGGGCTTGAAATGGGATCTCCTGTAGCTTAATGTCTAACTGCACTTACACATTAAGCCTAAGCTTTGGCATTTGTTGGAGCAGCCAATAGGAGCCTTTTATAGGGCAGGCTGAGGTGTTCACTCATGGAGTTAACACAAGTTCCCAGGTGTCAGAGGAAAGGGTGGGGTGGGGCGGGCAATCATTCAAGCCATGGTCTCCAAAGCCCCTCCATTACTGTAGCAGGCTGACAGTCTAGCCCATGGGCTGTTCACTTTCACCAGCGTTAATCCTAACAGTGAACATTACAGCAAACAAGCTCCTGGTATCTGGCTTGTTTCAGGACTGCCTTAACTGTGACAAATACACCCATGTTTGTTGCACAGGAAAATAAGGTTAAACCTGCGATGACCGAAGTTTTGGTGACAAACTGTGAACACAACATCAACCTTTTTTAATTTGTTAACTTTTTAGCATACAGTTGCCCGGCTACATATCCAGCAGATGCGGAGAAACATTACTATTCATGTGAAGTCGTGTTTCTGGTGTTTACTCCCTTTTATCTGTGGTTTGGTCTCCGCTAACTCCTGATGGAGATATTCAGCCCCTTAGCTGCTACATGCTCGACTGTGCTGCTTGGTGCCGGGCAGGTGGCATACTGTGGGTGTTAAGAACTTTTTTGTTAAAAACAGCTTTCTGCTAGAGCTAAAAAAAGACGCTATGAGCTGAAAAACACTATAAAGCCCCCATGGAGCTAAGGAGGGCAACAGTCAGGTGGAAATGATTATAGCCCAACTAATACTTCATTATTTTAAGACAATACAGATATTAATATTTGGGAGTTTCAAAAATCTGGTTCACCACAAGAGACACTTTCCATATTCTACACTTTGATCCATTACTATTATAAAAAACATTGATTATAGCCTCTTTTTAAAAATAAAAATATATATATGTGTGTGTGTGTGTGTGTGTGTGTGTGTGTGTGTGTGTACGCTGGGCAAATCTCATGCAGATTTACAGGGTGGCTGGTATTCAATCTGGCATTTTTAAAAATCACTTTTTAGGAAGTGTTGTTGCATCACCATTAGGAGTCGGGAGCTACTTTATCCGTGAAGTTATTGACACATTCACACTGAGAAGCTGTTGAGAAATGTCTGTCATTGCATCACCATTATAAACCGGTGTGTCATTAGTCCTCGTTAGCCACATATTCCACTCTTAATCAGCGTCACATTTGACATTTCTGAAAAAGCTGGAACCCGCCCTCATTAAAATGCTGCACATTTAGTTTG